GATTAGCGTAGGGAGGTTCGTCCCCTAATTCTAGAGTCTCCCTTCGATGAGATTCCGGCTGTTTCTTTTCTACCGTGGAGGAAAGATCACTAGCTGCAACTGCAAGCGAGCTTTGTATGCCATCAAAATCTCAATGGTTCTTGTCCATGGTGGACGTATGTGCATACTATACTCTCTCATGATGAGTCACTATTTTTTAAAAAAGAAACATGATGAGTAACAGTTGGTACTGACCAAGATATGTTTTTTCTCTCATTACCATATACTCCCTCCGTCCATAAAAGAACACAATGATGCGATCCGTGTCGGTCAATCTAACTCAAATTTAATCAAGTTTACATTAAATAGTATTAACATTTATGTCTTTAAATAAATTTATAATGAAAATATATTTTATAAACTAATTTAATGGTACTTATTTTATATCATGAATATTAGTACTTTTTATATAAATTTAGTCAAAGTTTATATTGTTTGACCTGTTGAAAAGCGAGAATTGCATTCTTTTGTGGACAGTGGTAGTACTATCCTTCTTGACCTCCCTCTATGTTAGTAAACATAAATCCTGTATCATCCAAGCCTCGGGGTTTCGATATTATAAATCATTTATTTAAAGAAAAATACCATGTTATAAAAAAACCTTTTGTTTTCTTATGAGGATTGCTAATCAATTTAGGGATCGTTCACTTCTATAAAGGTGAAGGTTGATACGCTGTTGGTATAGCCCTTGTTTAGTTCGCGAAATTTGGATTTTGGGGCTACTGTAGCACCTTCGTTTTTATTTGGTAAATAGTGTTCAAATATGGACTAATTAGGCTCAAAACGTTCGTCTCGTAATTTCCCACCAAACTGTGCAATTAGTTTTTCTTTTCGTCTACATTTAATGCTCCATGCACGGGCCGCAAACATTCGATGTGACAAGTACTGTAGCAACTTTTTGGAAGTTGGGGTGGAACTAAACAAGGGCATAGCATTTTACTAAGGTCACTTTAACCGACGCCCGTAGCCACAGCTAGCAAGTTTAGCAGAACTGAACCCATAGCTATTAGCATAGACAGCCACAGCCCTTTAGGACTCTATGCTCCATCGTTGGGCACCTCGCATCTGCCATCTAAGGGCCTTTGCCCTTTTTTCTCTCTGGTGAGGCTACCAGTGGCAAGAAAAAAAGGGATCCATCCTCTATTTATTTTTAAAGCATTTTTAAGTTTAGCCTAAACAGATTTATCGTCGAAACCATCACCGATGTTCGTCGGGGAGCCTGTTACATGCAATGACTTTAATGATGGCCACATTGAGATTACCATTGCAGGAATTGATTTGATTAGTAGGCGGTCAATTTGTGGTTACTATTTACAAGGGTAAGGGTGCTCATAGACACTCCTCATGGTGATATATTAACTCTGGGTTGTCAATCTCATAGCCGATGGCCGTGGATAGAAAATTAGGCTTCCAACATGATTCATTAACCGTTGGAGGTGCTAAATTCTGTAGCATGTGTTGTACCTAACAATTCAACGCCGATATTCTTTCATTGATCCATATATTTTTTGGTATGATCCTAAAACGTTGAGTTGTGTGCCATGTCTAAGACTTTTGGGGTGGTCGGATTTGGTATAAGAACTATACTCTTGTTTTATTGTTCTATGAGACTCCATGTATCTTGAGCATCAGTTGCTTTGACTAAAATCATTAGAGAAGAATATGCTAAAAGGATTTAGATAGAATATTATACTTTTTTATTTCAGATTTTTACTCTTATATACACTTAAAAATAAAGTTTAACTGTTACCGTAGCCATAATGAAAAATTTGGGTGTTTATTAGTATTTACGGTCACTGCTACCGCGTGCCTCTCTACACTACACCGTTGCATTGGGATCGAGAGATTCCACGGTTGAGCAGCCCCAAAGCCTCGCGCCCGTCCTGTCGTTGGCTAAGGCTTGGCCGCGGCTGGGAAGCCAACTTTTTTATCCGCCAAGGAGTATAATCTATCATAGATCATGCATGCGGCGCACGCTACGCGATGCCCGATTTTTCGGTCGCGGAAACGTGCGCGCCCGCCCATGCTCGTGCGCACGAGAGACCTCGTGGTGTCGTGCATATGGGAAGCTGGGAACGGGATCCTCCGATCCTGTGTACTCTTCTTCACTACTTCTGCTAGTCGATCTTGCGCATCTCTGTAGGCTGCTGCACACACCGCCAGGCCAGGAGGAGAGGCAGGAGTGCGTACGCGCCCCCTGATGGGCTCGTCACGCGCACTCGCAGCAACTGGATGTTGGGCGCGCGACGGCATGACCACTGTTCACACGTAGCGCACGCGCCTCCCCGTTTGGAACGATCGAGGACACGTGCGTGCCTCCGGTGGTGGCGGTCACCGTGATACGGCCCAAAACAGCGGTTGAGCTGGTACTCGAATATGGTTGCAGTTGTATTCCTGTATTCCAGTGGTATGGATGGATGGTGTGGTGGCAATCTGACGGTCAGCGTGACAGCGTTCATATTATTAGTGTCTGGAAAAATCTGGATGTTTCCTCATCTTACTTATGAACTGCTCAGGGAGTTCGGTTAGTCGTTAATCCTACTACTTACCGCAGTAACTAGAGCTAGCTGCCTCTTCAGGTGTGGCACAAGAACAACGCAACTACAGTAGTGGGCCTAGTGGCTAAGCTTTTGCATTAGACCCGGCCGGCGGTCAACTGACTAGTAGACTTACTTGAAGCAAGTGAACGATGGCCTCCAGCTTCACCTTCACGTCGCTGCCGGCCAGCATTTGTAAACAACGAAAGTTCCTGCCACGCGGTAAAAGTAAAAACAGCAGTATAATAACTTTGTTCGTTCGTCAGTGGTTAAAAAGTCGCAAAGCTAAGCCTGGAGTAGGCTCAATCAACGCCGGCGCGGTTAACCATTCCGATGGCGAGGCGTGTCACACGGCTCCAAAGTTACTCCTGCTACTAGTCCCGCTCTCACGTCGGCGCGCGAGATGCTGACGAGTGACGAGACGCACGGGACTCGTCAAAATCACAGGATAGAATACAACTAGAATACAGTACGCGGCTCATGCGTTCCTACGCGTCCCGGTCACCAGAAGTTCAGCGCAACCCGCTGCGGACGCGTGAGAATTCCTTCCAGAAACAGTGCAACTTGTGCCGATAGCTGCAGCGGTGGTCAATGGTCGCCGGGGAGCGCCCTTTCGTCTGCGCTTCGGAGGAAGCCGTCAGCCGTGGGATCTGTACCTGTCTGCAACCTGGCTTTCCCCGGTTCCTTTTTCACATCGGATAGGAGAAACCTGCTGCAACTTGGGGCCTTGGGGGTTAATACTTGGCGAAGTCATACACGTGGAGCTAGTGACTTGGATTGATATGGATTTTTACCTTTCAGTTATGTACGTTTTGCAATAACAAAATTACACAAGGATGCTTGAATACCTAACTGTTTTCTCTAATGACCAGCGTTTATTATATAGACATACAAGGAAAGTAATATCCGCAGTCTATTTGTCGAGAAAATCAGATAAAAACACAAGCAGTGGTTTTTATAATAAATAGACATATAGCTTAGAAATGTTAGTGTACTGTATCATTTTAGAGAGGTTGGGACCTACTTAGGTAATTTTCAATAAACGAACATTATTTTTCTCTTACAACAAATGAGCATAAGCATCAACATAAGCCAATTTTCAGCGAAACGAATAGGGCCATAGATCATATTTGGATCACATATAAATTGCTTCCTAAGGCCCTATATGGAACGTGAGAATTTTTTTTTTCTGTTCCTACGTTTTTCGTGTGAAATTAAACTGATTTCAATTTTTACGCAATTTCTATAGAATATCTGTGTTCCAAACAAACCTAAGTTAAAGTAGAATCTCACGCATAGAGTACATTTCACTCTCTACTTTTGTCCATAGGTAAGTCAAGATGACCTGTTATTAGGACTTCGTGTAAAGGCCGCTCTCACTTTACAGCTCATATTAGTACGTAGCTTCCTGTACGCATAAAACCAGGCGTTTCCAAGAAATGTCATCAAGAAGAAATGCCAGAAATGAGTAAAGGCCGGTGAAAATTTGCATTTTTCAGTTCCTTGAAACGGCCTACGACAGCCCATGTGTCTTGACGATTTTCCTTTTCAGTTCCAAAAAGAAACATCGCAACAGCCCAAAGAAAAACCTCGAAACAGCCCAGAACGCTATGGGCCGAGCTGACTGCTGTTCCACAGAATATCTGCGGGCGATCCACCGATCAAGCGAGCTGATGAGCTGGTCCCGAACCGCTCCACCCGTCGCGCCATCCTGGCGTGCCGCGGCACACGTGTCGACAGAGCTGGCACGTGCCGCCGCGCGGCGCATCCTTATATCTCACTTCCTCGCCAGCCACTCTCTCAGGCTCTGATCGGCCGCCGCAAGCGATCACCGGATCACGATGCTGCGGAGGACGCTGCCGGCGTTGCGCTCGGTGAAGGATGGCGTGGCAGACGCGGCTGGGCACGCCGGCAAGGGCGACGCGCACTTCCCGTCGCTGCGGCGGAGGAGGAGCTCAAGATGTACAGGTGCAGGATGATCAAGAGCTGCACGGCGACGTGCCCCAAGAGCCTCGACCCCGCCGCGGCCATCTCCGCCATGAAGGCATTGCACCAGCTCCGCAAGGCCTCCTGAGTCAGGACTCGGAAGACACGGGGCCCTGAGGCAGTGCAAGCAGCTACTTTGCGGATTTCATTGCTAGTTGACCTGTACGATCCAGCGAGTTTACTCTATTCGACAGAGATCGAGTTTACTCTCTTCTTTTCGCAGAAGTGAACCTTTGCCTAGAAAAATTTCTCGACGCCAGCCAATCCGCAAAATCTGTTGTCTTTTATAGGAGGAAAAAATAACCAGAAAAAACCTTCTGAATCATACGGCACGTAAATATTTCTGAAACGAGCGAGCGACTTCTTCCTGACGATTACGTCCATTGCTGCCGTTGGTCCTGGCTTGCCAACACGCCCCAGTCACCTCCCTCGGAAGCCTCAACTGATTTTGAAGCTCCTGGCGGACACCGCCAGCGCCGGCCGGCAACCACCTTGCTTCTTCTGCACGTCGCGGCCACACCCCGCAGTACTACCGGCCCTCTTGGCTCCCGCGGCCGCCGCCGCGCAGTTGTGGTCCGCGGGGAACCGGTGCTTCAGGCACACCTTGAGGCCGCAGCCCTTGCACTGGCTGGTGTTGCTGAACGTGAGCGCCTCCTTGCATCGCCGCACGGGGCACTGCGGCTTGCGCTTCCTCGCCGGGTCGCAGCGGCGCGACCGCGCGTGCGCGTCCAGGATCTCCCGGTCGCACTGCTGCCCCGGCACCGCCGTCCGCTCGATGGCGTCGCCGCAGTCCCGGGCACACCACGACCGGTGCGGATGCCCTGGTCGGCGGCTAAAACAATGGCGATGCCCTGCTGCATGAAGATTTAATGGTGAAACACGCGGATTATGCTTGAAAGCGCAGAAGAACCCGCCGCTTTGGATCCGTCGCATCGACCCGAAGGGCGCGGTGCGGGAGGAAGTCGAGAGCTGGTGCACCCACGCGGTGCGCCTCGTCGCAGTGCGCGCCCAGGTCCGAGGAACGCTGGCTCCGTGCCGTCCGAGGCGCGCCATCGGTCGCCTCCGTGCCCGCCCGCGTCCGCCCGCCGCCAGCCGCTAGCTCCTCCCCTTGCCGTCTGGGAGCTCTTCGTTTCTTCCTGCGTCGGCGGTTGATTCTGTGATGGATGAGGGAGCGATCGGTGAGGATCTGAGTAATGGTTTGGCATCGATTTATATAGGCTGCGAGATCCAAAAGCCGGGTGCCGAATCTAACTAATCGTCCGACTCCGACACCGGGCGCACCGGGTTCGTCAGTCGGTGTCCGTTTCCGCGGGAAAAAATCGGGTGGAGCCGGTGTCCAAAGGTTCTTGATCCTTCCGTGCTACCTGATGCGCCGACTCGTGTCCAACTGCAAGTATGAATCATCCATCACTCCGTTCGGCACCCAGATTCTTCCGTGAAGGGCGCGGTTCATCCTCATTCGTCATTCCTGAACGGAGGCCTTAAGCCACGACCCGTCGCGCGCACGACCCGCCTCCGGGTCTTCTTCCTCCCCCGACTTGTGTCCTCGCGCCCTCCCCACCCCTCCTCCCCTGCCGCCCTCGGCCACGGCTTTCTCGCCGCCGGCCATGCCATCCGCAACCCAGTGGCGGAGCTAGGTGCAACTTGAGGGGCCAATTTTGCCTTATGAAGATCAATTTTGTACACAGATGCTAGAGCCAATAATCACTAATCACAAATTTGCTGCTAATTAATACTATAAAAATCCAACAAAAATATCAAGTAGACTCTATTAAGTACATATTATCATTTATATAGTCACATCTAGTATACCGTATATGTCATGTAGCAAATAACTCTGCAGATGAGTATGAAAATTGGAAGAAAAAAGCATTGAACATTGATTATTAGCCTATATACAGCCTGTTCGATTGGCTGGTTCGTTTATGTGAGAGAAAGTATTGCTGGCTGGTTCGCGTGAACAATGTTTATGTGAGAGGGCTGGCCAGCCAGCCCAGCCAGCTGCTCCCAGCCAACCAGGCTGATAACTACTGCTTAGCCTATAGCAGAGGGGGGGGGGGCAGGTTGGCCTAGCCTGAGCTCTAGTGCGTGCCGCAACCTGCCGCCGCCCAACGACCCCGCCCACCCTACATACAGGACAAGCTCGTCGGGGTCGTCCTCATCCTCGCCCCACCCCACCCCTGCCTCCACCATCGGCAGCCGGCGACAAGTGGCCGCGCCGCGCCACCCACAACCTGCACTCATCCCTCGAACCCATCCATGCTAGCGACAGCATCTCGCCGGCGAGCTCCACCACGCCGCCCCTGTCGCCGGTTCCGCCTAACCGATCGTCCCCCGCTGCCTCGCTTGCCGCCCTTCAACCCGCGCACCACCGCCGTATCGTGTCCGCCTCCCAACGAACTCCCTTCTAAGGTCGCCGGAGATGGAAACCCTAACCTCGTCGTCGTCGGAACCATAACCACCGCCGGCTTCTTCTTCCTCTCCGCCACAGGCACATGGCATGGGCGTGGTCGGGCGCGTGGGAGAAGGAGAGGGAGAGGAAGCCGTGGGGTCGCGTCATCGCGCTCTAGCACGACGGGTCACGTAGAAACTTTTGCGCTCCTGAAGGGCGTTGACGAGTTGTTCCTTGCCTACAAACCGAACCGTCCCATGCCGTGGGTTGACGCACATTTGACTTTTATCCTCGCTTAACGATGCACGCTTCCAAAGTCCCTAGCTTGCCAGTGGCCTTGCCCCTGCATCACGCGGCTACCATGGCAGGAGCCAGGAGGTTGGCTGGAAGATGACACAGCTGAATGGCCTTTTTTTTTCCTGAACAAGTGGACATGACCATTTTATGGATAAAAGAGAGAATTACAATCGCGGTACAAAGGGCCTACTCTCACGCAAATAGAGACAGCTAAATGTTTCTCTCCCGCCAAAATCCAAGAGGACACTTTTCTTCTTGATTGTTGCGAGCATTGCCATGGTGTGTTCTGCTTCTTGCAATCTTGAGTTCATTTCCTTCTAGATTTCCCAAGATATCGACATCACTTTCTACATAGGACCGAAAATTGGGTCTAGCCCTTTGTTTGTTTAAGTCACGTTATTTTACATCTGCCAATTTTTGTTTGTTTATATGTCATGAGTCTCTGGCATTGGCTTTATTCCGTATCTGTTAGGAGTATCGCCGTGGAGAACCGGCACCGTGGAACACCAACACAAACCCTGAGACCGAGAGGGATTAATTTATGCCCTAAGCTTTTTTCATGCACGTCTTTTGCACCGTTTACTAGGTGTGTACTAGACTGCTTAATTTGTTTGGTCAATGACGTAATAGATTCTAACCGCTCACGTTGTTTGTATATGTAAAGTCATATTCCAGTCATGTTTAAAGTCATGGATTCTTTTAAGGTTAGAAAAAAAAAAGAAATCACCGTGTAGGGCACTGCCTAGTCCATAGTCCCCACTTCATATCATTTTTGGCACCAGTGAACAAACAACATTAGCTCCACTAGGTTGGTGCCACTCATTCATATAATTTTGTATAAATTTCTTTAATGTCTTATATATCCAATAAAATTTCATTATCCTATTTTTGTATTGAAAGAAATTGTTGATGGTACATATGAATCGACATATTGAAAACTTAATTAATATTTTCATTACATTTGAAATAGTTTTCATAAACACGTGCATATCGCACGGCCATATTTATTAGTTCAAAGAAAACGATAAGAAAATTTATAACTTTGCTGGGCCACATTGATCCATCGTCAGCCCACAATAGATCGGAGATCCTCCCTTTCTTGGGCCACAAGGAGACCAAGCTCCCTTTCTTGGGTCACAAGACGATCAGGCTTCTTTTCTTGGACCCGAAGTCGGACGCACCCGACACCCCAAGACCGCCGCCCATAGAATTTCCATTTCGCCGCATTATTTTTTCCTTCTTCTCAAACATCAAACATCCCCCCTTGCTCGTCTCCGACTCCGATACTGCTCCGGTATACTCCCCACCACCTCGCACCCGGGGCGCGGCCATGTTGACACCGCGCGTCCTCAAGCCTTCGCTGCTCCGCCGCCTGCGCGCTGCGGCCGAGCTGCCTCCGCCGTGGCGACCCCGGTACGCCTCTTCTCTTCTCTCGGTTTTCGCGTGCGTGGTGTTGTTGTGCGTCTGTGCGCGCGCGCCAGGTGTTTGCGCTAATGCCGCAGCGAGCGGCACCCTCTACGCCGGTGGCGTCCTCGGTTGCTGCAGGTGTTGTTTGGGTAATTTGGTTGGTAGTTTGGGGTGGTATGGAATCGGGATTTGAGATTCGTCTCCGTTGGAGCGTTCCATGGAGCTGAGCGGGGAGGATTCCGGGGGGGACATGTTTTTTAAAAAAAAAAAATTCATGGAAGTAGGTTGAGTCAGCATGGCATGAAAAGGTTGGTAAGTTCTCAGTTGATATGAGTAACTCATAGTATGTGTATGTATGTACCTTGCGCACTTCATCGGCAAGTTGCTATCTGGGACATTCTGCTGGATGTGCTACTCTGGGCGCAATATGGTTGTGGTGTGCCAACTGCAATTATATGCTAGTCTGAGATCTGCTAGTTAATGTGATTAAGTGATGGGTTCAACGACAGAACTAGTGTTTGGTGGCTGGGTTCTGTCATCATCATGCTGTAGCCGCTGGTTTTGCTTGTAGTTGGGTTGTTCAGGATTTGATGCTCATGCTGTTTCACATTCCTTGTTGTATTGTTGCATGTAGCTTTGTTGATGTCTCCTGCTACACCATAAGTTGAAGTTACACCATGCATGGGAACTGTACCTTTGACGTTTCACTTGTAGTCTGATTTGATAAATGATATATTCTTGCTTCCCCCTTCTAGATAGGTGCTACTGTTGAACTTCAATTTAATGCCATAAGCTGATACTAAAAATATCACATAAATGCTTGAGGGTATTGAATTTTTCCATCTGTTTTGTCACTACCTCTAGCTTGTGCATGCAGCCACATGTGTAGATTATTTGCTTGTGCTTGTGTTACTGAGTTCTGATAATTCTATTACTTTGGTTCTGTAGGATCCTACCTGCACGGACTTACCGTTCCAGAGGCTATTCTAGTGGGGGAAGCTCCAAGTATGATAGGCCAATGAGACAGTTTTCTGAACAGAATGAGTCAACTTCTTGGCCATTGATATATTACGTTGCTGTATGCTGTTTCTAAAGACTGCTTATCTGATTTCTCATATTATATTTAAGTTACAATGCTATCTAGAGTATTGTCTAATGTCAAATAATCAACAAGAGATTCTTTGACACCTATGTCTTTGGACACGTTCACAGTTGCCTAATTGAACCTTAGCACCATTCTATGCCCACACTTTTCTGAGTAAAACCGTAATAGCATTTTAAGTAACACTGTTCTTTTGTAAATATGTTGGTTTTGCAGCCTGCTCTACTTGCTTTTGCTGGGATAGCAACTTTTGTTCATTACAATGATGAGAGGCGTGCAGTTCCCTTAGGTAAGAGTTTTCCAGCAATGCTGCTTTATGTTGTTTTATGAGGTTCCACATTTTGATGGTATTCATTCTGTGCTTCAGTTTTACTCCCTCCATTCCTAGTTATAAGTCGTTCTGGCTTTTCTAGATACATATCTTTTATTATGTATCTAGACATAGTCTATATCTAGGGTGCATAGCATAAACAAATGTACCTAAAAAAGCCAGGATGACTTATAATTTAGAACGGAGGGAGTACTTGTTAACTCGTATAGATTAGATAGTGATAATAGTTCAGCTGGATGAAATGCCCTGTCATGGTATGCAGATTCAATTTATCTATGCTTGGACATCTGGTGGAACTTCTTGATGATGAAGTAGTGTGCTCTCGTGATTAAGTTTGTTATGACACTGTTAATTATAGTGTACATGACATCTTGGAGTTACTATTCCTGCTGTTTTTGCAAATTGCTGGTACAATTTTTATTGGAGAAAAAGAATGAAAACTGCATGAAAACAAGTTTTAGTGGTGAATAGTTGCTTAGCTCAAACAAGTGGTTTACATTGATTCTTTAGTTTTCTAATAGTTG